CCAGCGCCTCCTGCCGGCCGCGGCCTCCGCTCTCGGCCCCAGCGCGCCTGGAAGGGCAGGAGGGAGATGTTTGACGGGATCCCGGGTGAGGGGTGAGGCTGCAGGAGGAGGAGTCGAGCCCCCGCTGTCTGGAAGGGATAGAGGCGGGCTGGAGCGGGGTGGCGTCCTGAGCCTCACTGCTGTCTCCTCTGCCCCGCAGGAGAATGGCCATGTGAAAAGCAATGGAGATTTATCCCCCAAGGGTGAAGGGGAGTCGCCCCCTGTGAACGGAACAGAGGAGGCAGCCGGGGCCACTGGTGATGCCATTGAGCCAGCACCCGCTAGCCAGGGAGCTGAGGCCAAGGGGGAGGTACCCCCCAAGGAGACCCCCAAGAAGAAGAAGAAATTCTCTTTCAAGAAGCCTTTCAAATTGAGTGGCCTCTCCTTCAAGAGAAATCGCAAGGAGGGTGGGGGTGAATCGTCTGCCTCCTCACCCACAGAGGAAGAGCAGGAGCAGGGGGAGATCGGTGCCTGCAGCGAGGAAGGCACTGCCCAGGAAGGGAAGGCTGTCGCCACCCCCGAGAGCCAGGAGCCTCAGGCCAAGGGGGCAGAGGCTAGCGCTGCCTCCAAGGGCGGAGACACAGAAGAGGAGGCAGGGCCCCAGGCTGCAGAGCTGTCCACGCCCTCGGGGCCAGAGAGTGGCCCTACACCTGCCGGCGAGCAGAATGAGTAGCTGGGTTGGGACAGGTGGGTGATCTCTAAGCTGCAAAAACTGTGCTGTCCTTGTGAGGTCACTGCCTGGACCTGGTGCCCTGGCTGCCTTCCTGTGCCCAGAAAGGAAGGGGCTGCTGCCCCCTCCCAGCCACGTTCCCTTTCCTCCTTTCCCTCCTGTGGATTCTCCCATCACCCACCTGGTCTTCCTCTTAAGGCCAGTTGAAGATGGTTTCCCAAGTTAGGTTAGTGATGTGAAATGCTCCTGCCCCTGTCCCTACCTCTTTCCCTGTCCCCACCCCTACATAAGGCAATTGCTGTTTTCCTCCCCAATTCTTTTCCAAGTAGGTTTTGTTTACTCCCCAAATCCCTGAGCCAGATGTGGGGTGCCTACACTCCTAAACCCTGAGTGTCCAGCCTTCCCTGTTTTTAGTCTCGTGCTGTGCCTAGTGGCACCTGGGCTAGGGGAGGACACTGCCCCTGTCTAGGTTTTTATAAATGTCTTACTCAAGTTCAAACCTCCAGCTTGTGAATCAACTGTGTCTCTTTTTTGACTTGGTAAGCAAGTATTAGGCTTTGGGGTGGGGGGAGGTCTGTAATGTGAAACAACTTCTTTTCTTTTCCCCCTCCCATTGTTGTAAATAACTTTTAATGGCCAAATCTCAGATTTTTACTTTTTTTTTTTTTTTTTGTCTAACTTTTAAAACCATTCTCTTCCACCTGGTTTTACTGTAACATTTGGAAAAGGAATAAATGTTGTCCCTTTAGTGGTGCTTTTTAATGAGTGGCCTTCTGGGGGAAGGGTGAGAAGATTGGTTAATCTCGGCCCTGGCCAGTGTTGCTCAGTTGGTTGGAGTGTAGTCCAGTATAGCAAAAAGTTATCAAACCCAGTTGGGGTTCATGCCAGGGGAAACCGATCAATCTTTCTCTTTCTCCCCCTTCCTCTCTCTAAAAAATAAAATTTAAAAAGGATTGGTTCACCTCAAACCTTGAGGGGAGGGATGAAGGACAGGTAAGTTTGTAGGGTTCTTTTATTGTTGGGGCGTTGCCCAGATCTTCAGGGACCCCAGAAAGGCAGGGAAGTGGAATAAAAATTAACCCAGGGATACTGCTAGATGAGCTCAGGAGGGTATAGAAATGTACCATTTTATTACAAAGATTCTCTCACACACATACACACACACAAAGTCCCCAAAAATAGCATCTCAAAAAGGAAACTACCAATTCCCACCTGCAAAATGGAGGAGTGAGAGGGGTCAGAGGTCAGATAGTGTGAGTTTCTTAACTCACTTGGGGCCAGTGGGAAGGTATAACAGAACCAATCTAAATGTAGCTGATGTTACCTTAAGGCGCCTGTAAAGAACAGGGGGTTCCTGAAGACCCAGCCATTCCTAGAATGCTCAATATGGGCATTTTTCCAAAGCCACTAAGCAGGAATTTGGCATTTCGGAATTATGTTCTATGGATGTTTAAGAGAATAGAATCCCTTTCACCCAGAACTGGCACCCTTTATGGTTCAAAATTAAGAATTGGGGAAGGATGGCAGGGCAGCTATTATAAGAGCGTGCCCAGCACGTGTGCCCTGGGCTCATGGCCCTGGTTCCTGTCTAGTCCCTGGGAATATTTATATTTAATATATTTTTATATAAATACACAGAAATAGAAAATATAAAATCTGAGGGGTTACAGGAGAAAGGTGGGGCGCTTTGCAAGAAGCCAGAACTGGAGAGGACTGCTCAGGCCAATTTGACCTCCTCTTTAACCCTGTGGAGAGAACAGAGACTGGTATGAGATAACCCACCCCAGAGGCCTTGAAGTGTGGGTACAATGACTTACTTTCACAGGACCCCGCTGCCCAGGTGACTGCTGAGGGCTGGGGCTTCCTAGCTCTGCCTAGAACTGCAGAGACAGACTGGTCCCTGAAAGAGGCCTTTGTAAGCTGGACCAGCTGTCCCTGTGCCTTCCCTCTCAGTGTAGTGGGACAAAGGGGCTGGTGCACCAATGCCAGGGAGATGGCTGACAGCTCCTTCCTCACCCTTTGGCTTCTTGCTTGTCCTCCTTGGTTTTCTCCTCTTCTGTGACTTCTGAAACATAAAAGTGCAGGGATGGCCAAGGACAGACCCTCTGGAAAGACCCATGGGATCTTCCCTTACCAAAAAACCCCTTCCCCACACTACAGCTCACTGGACATAAAAAAAAAAGCCCATCCCAGGTCTACCCAGTGAGCCCTGTTGAGAACAAACAGGTCTGACCGGTTTCCCAACCTGCTAGAGCCTGAACCTGGTGGGAGGAGGCAGCCCCCTGGGAAACTGGGGTGAAATGCCAGGAAAAGGGCTTGGGTGGTATGTGAGGGCCACACTCCTGACCACAGGGAGCCCAGGCATGTCCCTGGCTTTGGAGCCTGGCAGGGCTCGATAATCTGGTGGAGATGATGAATTGAGTTTCATTCCTTTGTAAGCCTTGCCACTTCTGGGAGCCACTGAAAGGCCAAGGAGCTGAGGAAGATCCCCACAGGAGCTGGCAGGGCCCAAGTCAGCTCCCTCCTCCCAGTGCCCTACATAGATTCATCATCCTCCAGTACTGGGGCTCAAGACCCAAATCTTTGCCTAACCCATACCCACCTTTCTTCTCTTCTGGGTCTTTCTCTTTTTCATCCCCAGTTTTGACTCTCTTGGCTTTTTTGAAGTTGGAAGAGTTCTTGCGACCACCTTCTCCCTCCTCATCAGAGTCAGAGAACTCTTCCTCACAGGCAATTCGTTTGTCAGAGGAACAGACTGGGAAGCAATGGAAAACACAGAGAGCCGGAGTGCCCAATGTTTCCCCATGAGTGTCCTCTGAGAGACACTAAGGGTAGAGGACAAAGAGAAGGGCAGAGGGAACTCAGGTTCCCTACTTGCTCCTACAGGCACTGAACTTGGGTTTCCTAACAGATGGGTAGCTTGCGGGGAAATGGAAACCAAGAACAGTGGAGGGAAGTCAGAGTTGCCTACTCAGGGAAGTACAGGACCCTGGGTCGGGGTCTTACTCGAAATGCGCTTGTCAGGGTCTTCCTCATCCTCATCACCACTCTCCTCTGGAATGGCGTCCTCAGGAATCGCCTGCATTTGGACCCCAGGTGCATGGGGCAGCATTCTCAGGTTCTCAAACAGTCGCTGTCTATGGCCAATGGTATAGAGGGTGGCTGGGTTCTAGTTAGGGACAAACCACAGCCTGGAATGTTCAATCAAGAGGTGTCTGGGGATATACTCACTTGATCTTCTCCAGGTACTCATTTGTGTTCTGGTTAGTCATATTGGAAGGACTGATGTGAAGTTTGAAATCTGGCCCAAAGTATTCAAAGTAGTCGTTGTATGGAAGCTCTAATTGGGGTAGCAGAGAGAGTCATGAGACCTGGCCAAACCATGGGACCCCGAGAAAAGCATTTACAGGTTTATCTGGACCTATAAGCCCAACTATCAAAGAGAAGAATGCCTCCAAAATAGGGTGAGAATCATGTCTATAGTACTTCAATCTTTTCAATGGCATTCTGCAATGTCCACACCAGTGGTGTGTGTGTCTCTCTCATTATGAGTAGGCCCAAGCCCTTGGTTTAGAAAGATTTAGGCAATATTCATTGGGAGCACTCCCTTACTCACTACCCCAGTTACCATATAGAGAAATTCCAAAGCTATAAATAACCAGTGGTAATTTTGTTCAGACCAAAAAAGGGAGAGGGAACAGGGTCAAAAAGGACTCAGGAAAAATTAATGACCATGGTCTGACAAACACAAGAGAATAAGCAGGAGAATCAATAACTAGTATTGGAAGAGGAGAGGTCATTTAGCCAAAGGGAAAGGAGTTGTGAACTTGAGGACATGTGAGCTCCAGCTCTACCCAGCCAACCTGGCCTTGGAGCTATTACCATTAGGAATCTCTGTGTCCAGGGCGACAGCTGTTTCATATGTCCAGCATCGGGCAACATTACGAATGGTGTAGCCACCTCCTCCCAGCATCAGCATAGGCAGGTTAAAGCTCTTCACAAATTCCACACACTTGGCGTGCCCTTTGGTGGAAGAAGGTGGTGCTGGGTTACAGAAGCACCCAGCAGGACCCTGCCCACCCAAGCCTATGCTACCTGGTCTCACCTTTGATGGTCAGATTGAAGCAACCTAACCGATCCCCAGACAGGGAGTCAGAGCCACACTGTAAGACGACTGCACTGGGTTGAAACATCTCCATCACTTTGGATATGACCTAAAGGATAACATCCTGGTCACCACCAACCTCAAGAAAAGCTATGTGTGTTCTAGGCTAAAAAGAGTGGGTGCAGCACTTTCTTCTGTACCTTTCCACTCTCCCATATGCTGGGTGGTAGATAAAAGGAAGTATCAGCCTGGGCTTCTGGTTTTCCCACTTTGAATTTCAGTTTTTGATCTGACAGGATCTCCTAGCTCTACCAACACTGAACTTAGAATGGCCTCTGTATCAACCCCCAGTCCCTTCTTTCACTACCTAAGACTTCCTCCAGGAAGTCTTTCTGACCCTTAGGTGCATCTTCTCTACTCACCTAGTCCTATAGACTTTGAGCCTGATATTGTGAGGAACCATTACTGAGGACAGAGACCATAACTCAGGCTTCTGTTGCTGCCTGCCCTTACTACAAGCACAAATTAGGCATTTGGTGTTTGCTGACTTTATTAGGTTACTCTATTAATGGTTCCCTGCTGCTGACAAGTGAAGATTTAATTTGTCAGCAGGACATTCAAGGCTCCCTCTGAAATACTGACCCCAACATACATTTTCTACATCCTTAGATACTCCTCCCACGTATCACAGTGGCTTACATACAGCTACATATTGGCACCACTGTTCCCTCTGTTGAATGCCACCCCTCCCACTCGGTCCCCACATCCTTCTTTACATGGGTAACTCATTTTTCAAAGTCTAGCTCAAATGTCACCACCTCTGTGCAACCATCAGACTACCCTTTCCCCAGCCCAGGCAGCAGACTGCCTCTCACTCCTCTGGTTCATCCCTCAAAAACAGTACTGACTACACTGTTAGGTATATGCCTGCCTCCCACACTCTAGACTGTGAGGTCTTCAAGGCCATAGATCATGACTTAGGTATTCTTATGTCCAACAGAGGGCCTGAATCACAGAAGGCATCAACAACTATTTGGATGAATTCTGTTTCCGGAACTGAACACATAGCATGCAATCCAGGGTTGAAGCACATCTCCCAACCAGCCTCTCAGTGGGGAAAGATCCTGAAATATGGTGGGGGTGCTTTGCTACCCCTCCCTTAGACCAATCCCATTTGTAACCCAGGTGGTGGATAAACCACTTACCAGTTTAAAAATGGCCTCATAGGACTCGTCATCAATCCCATCTCGAAGCGGGTAGTTAACAGCATAGTACTTGCCTTTGCCAGCCCCAATATCCTAATCAAGGGGACATTAAAATAAAACTGAAAAATGAAGCTAGAAGTTCAAGGATGGGGGCTGGTTCTAAGAGGCAAGCGGGGCCCATGAGGGGCCAGAGACACTGTGGTTAGTACCCTTCCCCTCAGTGGCAAGTCTAGCTCACAGCTCATGACACACCACTGAGCCTGTACCCAAACTGGGAATTGTTTATGGGTCCAGAGATTAAATATCCTATCCCACAGCACAAAGACCTCTACCTTTGGGTTGGGTTAGAGCTGGCTGGTGACTGGGACACAGAATACCTACCTGCAACAACTCTTTCCTCTCCAGAGAGCTTTACTGCTCACTCTACCCACCCACCCT